GTATCTTTATAGATACTGACATTTTGAAATACGGCAGTGTACGATTATTTTGTCGTACAAGGTTGGCAACGCTCCGAGCAGTGGGCGCGGCCGGGTTAGCGACTTCCAGAGTTAGCGAATTCCGCCTCGAGACAAAATCGAGTTAGCGGGTTCCGGAGTTAGCCAATTCCTGACTGAGACGGTTAGCCAGTTCCAGAGTTAGCCAGTTCCGACACACGACCGAGTTAGCGAGTTCCTGTGTTAGCCAATTCCTACGTCTCGGTTCCACACTCCAGACTACTCACCTTTAGTACTTCCTTCACCACTTTCTACGTCACGGACCTCAAGCTAGTGTCGTCTTTTGATTATATTTATGATCCATACGGTTTCTGTTCTAATATCTGTGGAATCATGCTATCAGCTATTTCTTTATCTACTGCATTCAAAAGTTAACAGCTGATCATATGTCTTTGTTTATGTGTCAAATACTGCTTCCATAAGGTTTACATTGAAACTTTGAGACCCAGTGGGGCTGATTCCTGAGAGACATGTTCAACGCCATATAGATGTTAGCACTCACCGATATGTTCTTTATCACCATGCAAAATTTGAAAACGATTGATTTAGCCGTCTAGGAGGAGTTTGCGTATTACAAAATGCACAAGAGTCGACGTATAAGAGCTCCGCTCAATAAATGTTAATTACTGTTGGAATTTGTAGCTGAATGAACAGGGGTTTACAGTGTTCCTGTAGGGGTTCACAAGATATGATTCTAACCAAATTATATGAAATGAAATGAAAATGTGCTTTATTGTACAATTTAGAACATAAATACATTTTTTCACAGACACATAAAAACAATGGTTAATAACTGTCTGTTTTGTTGGCACTAGAGTTGTTCCATTACTTAAGATTAGAATAGTAGGCCTATTGAGCACTAAAAAGATTTATTAATATTTCTGAAATAAAGACATAAGAGAAAAGATATAAGAGAGAACGAAATATTATTACATAAGTGATAAAAAAACAAAAACATACTGATCCTAACTTATCTGTAGACGAGTTTCATATACAATTATTTAGATTCAAAAGTTAAATTCTGTCACTATCTCCCATCTATACTTCCAAGCATTTTCTAGATAACTAGCTAAAGCTCGCCAATTCCTCCCATTTATAAATTGATGATATTCTATTTCGTTTAAAAAAAAGTTTTCCCAGCCACAAATGTCTTATGTGTTTTAAAATCGGACAAAGTGCAATAAAATGATAGACTGTTTCATTTTCAATTTGGTTACATAAAGAACATCTATAATTTTGATTGAGCCAAGGCTTGTAGTTCAGGTTGATAAGCTCTAATCTTGCTTTAAGAATCCACGAAATGGTACGAGTATTGTTGAGTTTGAGGGGACTCTTATCTCCAAGTTCAAGGTCGAGCGTGAGTAACTGGCTGTGATGGACGGAGGTGCGCGCTCGACCAACACACTCCCCCCTCCACCTACAACGTAGCCCCTCCGCTACCGACCTCAACTGTTCGCTAAGCTCCGCTAAATCATCATTTTGAAAATTAATATTTATATTAAATTGTTGTCCCAGAAGCTTCCATTCTTTACTCCAAAATACATTCCTTGAAATAATTTGTTTAGCTAAAATTTCGGGCAATCTCCCTGCTGGTAACGTTAAACATTTCAATAAATAATTTAGATTTACATTCAAAGTATAAAAGTATAACTTTTCACAGCATGTTTCCAAATATAATGCATAATTTGGTGTGTTAAAAGGTAAAGAGAATAATTTTTTGAGAAATATTTTTTGAACAGATTCTATTTGATCGCTTTCTATACATCCCCACACCTGAGCTCCGTAGCAGATTGTAGCTCGCACTACCGCTTCGAAACAACACATTTTAGAACATAGCGGTACTTTTGGGTTTTTAAATAAAGCACTCCAGACTGAATTAACAGCAAATTGACCTATTCTGGCTTTTTCTTTGAAATGATTACTCCATGAAAGGGAACTTGTGAACGTGATTCCTAAATATTTGTACTCATTTACCACCTCAATAATTTTACCCATATACCACCATTTGTCGCTCGTCTTCAATTTCCCACCATTTCTAAAAACAATAATCTTTGATTTATTTAAATTTACAGTTAAATTCCATGTCCCACAGTAGGTTTCTAAATTTTTTATCATGTGCTGCAGCCCGGTACTAGTTGGAGACAGAAGAATAATGTCATCAGCGTAAAGCAACATATTTATTTTCGATCCACCAAAATGGAATCCACCTCCTACCGCCTCCGGCAGGTCATTGATAAATAAACTGAATAAAGTCGGTGAGAGATTGCAGCCTTGCCTCAGACCTGTGTTAGTTTCGAAACTGTCAGTTACACCTCCTTCACACCACACACTCGAACTGGTGTTGTTGTAGTAGTTTTTTAATACATTCAGCATGCGCGTCAATAATCCCAAACTTGACAGTTTAAAAAACATTGATTTTCGATCGATTGTATCAAAAGCCGCACTAAAGTCAACAAAAAACGCATAAAGTTTCCCCCCTTTTTGTGATAGACGTAACTTAACCATACAAGCAAGATTAAAAATGTTATCAATGGTGGAGTAACCTTTCCTAAAACCCGCTTGGAATTCCGTTAATATTTCATTTTCTTGAACCCACGTTTGTATTCTATTGTTTATGAGACTTGTGAAAATTTTGGCCACGCTATCAATAAAAGATAATCCACGGTAGTTTTCAACTAAATCGAGGTCTCCTTTTTTGTGTAGAGGGAAAATAATTGAGGTTTTGAAAAATTTTGGAACAATTTCACTTTTTAAAATTTTGTTGTTTCCCTGTGTTTCCCTCCCTTCCCCTAGCATTTTAGGATTCCTGATCCCTTAATCTAATCGTCATAAACAGTTCCCACACTCCGGACTGCTCGCATTTACTACTTCCTCCACCACTTCCTACGTCACGGATCTGTTTCCCTCCCTTCCCATAGCGTTTAGGATTGCAGATACCTTAATCTAATCGTCATTCGTCATAAAAAGTTCCCACACTCCGGACTGCTCGCCTCTACTACTTCCTTCACCACTTCCTACGTCATGGACCTGTTTACCTCCCTTCCCATTATTGGATTGCAAATACCTTAATCTATTGGTCATAAACAGATCCCACACTCAGAAGAACTCACCTTTACTACTTCCTTCACCACTTCCTACGTCACGGACCTGTTTCCCACCCATAGCATTTTCGGATTGCAGATACCTTAATCTAATCGTCACAAACAGTTCCCACAGTCCGGACTGCTTGCCTTTACTACTTCCTTCACCACTTCCTACGTCACGGACCTGTTTCCCTCCCTTCCCATAACATCATATGATACCTTAATCTAATGGTCATAAACAGATCCCATACCCCAAACAGCTCGCCTTTACTACTTCTTTCACCACCTGTTTCCTTTAGGATTACATTGTATTTTAGGATTGCAGATACCTTAATTTAATCATCATAAACAGTTCCCAAAATCCGGACAGCTCGCCTTGACTACTTCCTTCACCACTTCCTACGTCGCAGACCCGTTTTCCTCCCTTCCCATAAAATTTTAGGAATGCATATACCTAAATCTAATCGTCATAAACAGTTTCCACACTCCAGACTACTCACCTTTAGTACTTCCTTCACCACTTTCTACGTCACGGACCTCAAGCTAGTGTCGTCTTTTGATTATATTTATGATCCATACAGTTTCTGTTCTAATATCTGTGGAATCATGCTATCAGCTATTTCTTTATCTACTGCATTCAAAAGTTAACAGCTGATCATATGTCTTTGTTTATGTGTCAAATACTGCTTCCATAAGGTTTACATTGAAACTTTGAGACCCAGTGGGGCTGATTCCTGAGAGACATGTTCAACGCCATATAGATGTTAGCACTCACCGATATGTTCTTTATCACCATGCAAAATTTGAAAACGATTGATTTAGCCGTCTAGGAGGAGTTTGCGTATTACAAAATGCACAAGAGTCGACGTATAAGAGCTCCGCTCAATAAATGTTAATTACTGTTGGAATTTGTAGCTGAATGAACAGGGGTTTACAGTGTTCCTGTAGGGGTTCACAAGATATGATTCTAACCAACTTATATTGTAAGACTAAAATGTCCTCTATCCTACTGCAATTTCCGTAAAAGATGAAGGAGCTAATAGCTCTGAAAACTAAGTGTTTGTGTTATTTGTGCATTTTCTTCTATTTCCGTTGGTAAGGTAAGGCAGCTGTTAAACCTATCCAATACAAAAACCATTCAATGTCAAGGTTAATTACATCCAGGGCAAGGTTTATTATCCACAATTTTGGCTATTCACAATCACTCACTAACATGGATAATCAGGAGTCTACTGGCTTTGTATTATAGAAATACTAGCTGTAACCCGCGGGCTTTGCCCCGTTTAACTTCTTAATTTTCAAGATTATCTCGTTCGCATGGCTCAATCACGTCCTGGTTGAAGTTTGTTCGCTACGCTCACTCACCTTTAGGTTGGAGCTCGTTCGCTGCGCTTACTCACCTTTAGGTTGGAGCTCGTTCGCTGCGCTCACTTGCCTTCAGGTTAGCTCGTTCGCTACGCTAACTCGCCTCCAGGTCGAAGTTCGTTCGCTACGCTCACTCACCTTTTGGTTGCAAATTAGCTGTTGTCATAAATGTAAAAGAAATAATAGTGCTGCACCCTGTTGGTAATCCTTGTAACTTTAATGCTATTGAACATCATAGAACAGAACCAACTTGTTTAATTGAAACAGCTGTTAAGATTCAATAATTCCATTTCTCATAAGGTTAACATGGGAAACTCCAGAGACACTGGCGCGGAGCCCGAAAGGATTTTTGAAATAAGAATATGCCTATATGTTAATCGGGAATGTGAGCTATCATCATGCCAAATTTGAGCCCAATCCGACCAGTATTTTTCGCGTTCACTTGTCACAAACATCCAAACTTTCTCATTTATAATATTAGTAGGATAGAGTTACCTTGTATAATGTTCAAGCCATGTCTGCCGAGGGCTGGCTGGCCTGACTGGCAGGGTCAGGGGTAGGTGCTGGGTCTGAGGGTACCTGTGACCCTCCGGCCCCCTCTGCACTACCACTCCCCCCTCCACTGCCTCCACCCTCCGCGGTGTTGGCGTGGCGAGGCAGCAGCACCGAGTTGAGTGAAGGCTGTATGTTCAACTCTGTAATAAGAAAAGGAAACATATTTTACCACTGCTTGAAAAGAAAACCCTTTTGAAATAAAAATTTGTTGTTGTAGCTTAAAAACTACCTTGAATATCAAAAACTGGTTTGGATACCTGCTTTTAAATAATTATACTGTCAAATATTGTGCAACTAGTTACAAATTGTTAAGAAGTCATCTTCAGGTGTTGGAGGATGTCATAATCGCTTGATCAGAAGTGATGTCACAGCATAGACCAAGTTGACGGGTAGTCTTGACTTTACATCTAATCTGTCTTGTCACATCATTCAGTGAGCCGTGAGCCGAGTTACTGGTGATATTGCCATTTAATTAATTGGTTTAAGGTGCCGTTTGATTATTTTTATGTCCACTGTAATGTTGAAGTGTATTCGTTAGTCAACACGACAATGCATATGTACTTTTAAATGACAAAATTCTGCAGCAATTATGAATCCTACAATGCCTGAACATGTCTGTCACCACTTATTATATTTACATTTTGTTCTGTACAATTAATTTCCCTTTTGTACTTTTTATTTAATATCATATGTTCAGCTGTTTTTTTATTTATTTATATTTTCTTAACAAATATCAATTACATTCTGTTGTTCATTAAAACAAGACCTCTCTCTTCTCTTTCTTTATAAATACTTTTTTACTATTCAAATTACCAACAACCTGCGTTCTGCCAATATTATATTCAACTATGATCTCCTCCTCCGGTATGGAAGTGGTGGAGGACAAAGCGTATAATAATCCTGATGGCGGGGGCAGCGGTGTTGACACGTCCTTTGAAAGAAATAACAAGCCAACCTATGGATGATATGAATTCTCTGAGCCTGAGAGGTAGGAATATAAGACCTGAGAGCAGAGTGGAAAAAGAAAAATCATTGAGAAACAAATCAATTAGATCCTCAAGAAAAACAGAAGCTGAAGATGAGCTACAAGAACTAATTGATTTACAAGAGATTGAGAGGGATAAGACCTGAGAGCAGAGTGGAAAAAGAAAAATCATTGAGAAACAAATCAATTAGATCCTCAAGAAAAACAGAAGCTGAAGATGAGCTACAAGAACTAATTGATTTACAAGAGTTTGAGAGGGAAAAGGAACGATTAGAACAAGAATTTAAGATCACTGAACGTCAAAGAAATGGAAATGGAAAAAGAAAAAGCAAAAATGAAACTAGAACAAAAGTTTAAAGAATTAGACAGACTGAGCATTTTTCACTGAGGTGAATAGCAGACTATTAACACGAGTTTCGACAGACCTAAATGATGATGAAAATCTAACTCGCAATCACTTTCTCATAGGAAGGACAGGTGCAAAGTCTCCTTGTACAAAAATACCTGTGAAGAGTCTTCGTAAATCTATCGAATGTTACCTGTCTCTGTAAAGTTGAAGAGAGGAGGCAGGGGCCGGCCGTTGGGCAACCGGGTGTTGGGTTCGCGCAGCTCGTCAAAGAAGTTGTGGGCGCAGGCTTGCAGTGGGGAGATACGTGAGGAGGGCGTGTACTCTAGCAGCCGAGACACCAGGTCAATAGCCTCTGCAGGTGTCCTGGCTCTGAACACCTACACAACACAATTACAATCATTGGAGGAAACATAAGTACAAACAGACTACAGAATGTAAAGAGAAAGTAACCTAACACTTGCACTTACACTCTCAATTAAAACACAGTAAATATATACATAAGTTGGTAGGTGATCGATTTTGAAGGACAATCCGATCATCAAATTCATTAGGGAATCTACTGTCTTGTAATGAAAGAGTTAACGTTTAAAACACACTATTAACGTTTGAAATGTTTTAGATGTATTTTTATTTACAATAAATATAATACCGGTACCAATACTGTGCCGATATATTATACCAATATACAGTACAAACACCGCGCAGATTCATAAGTAATTTATAACATACAGCACTAGGCCTAACCCTAAAGTCCTGACTATCAAAATAATACCTACATCCATAAAAAACCTACACTATTCATGACCTTAGTTGTAAATATGACCTTAGTTGTAAATAATTAAGTTCTATCTGAGTGTTTTAATCTTAGTTTATTGGTGAAGTATTTGGCATAGGAACGCATGAAGGAAAATTAATGAAGACATAATAACTCGCCCCAGAAAAGATTTCCTGGTTGTTAATAGCACGCAGAGTTTAAAAGCAATTTACATGATATTTTGCTACTACAAGTGGGCTTTTCGAGTCAAAGCAGTATAGTGGATAAACAGGGGCTGAACCTCTCAACCCCCTAAATGGTTGAAATATCAATGGTGTTATGGATATTCTTTGAACCATTATCTGCCAGTTACTATTTTCCTATACTCCATTCTACGTTCCCTATGCAGTACGGAGAGTCAATAAGCAATGTATTTCAAATGGCAGATCCATTCAATGATACTAGCCGGCAGCCGGCCAAAAACCATATACATACCCCCAGCACGATGGTCCATACGGAAATGTATTTTTTTACATTAATACTTGTTCCTACACTGTTTTACTACTAGACTAATTTTGACTATACTAAAGTCAAATCATAATTATTAAATGAAAATCATTTTTATTAAAGGCACTTTTGTATTATAACCTCTTTATTTTACAGCGCGCTGCGGCTGTTAGGTTAGGTTGGGTTATCATAAATATGTTTGTTGGACTTTCCTCGTTTAGTTATGAATCAAACGATACCAGATGAAACATAACACAATTATGATAACCCCACCTAACCTAACCGCCACAGCGCGCTGTATTTTGGTGGCCTCCGTATAATATAAAAGTACCGTATAAAAATCACACAAGTTGTGGAAGTAAATAAATTGTAATTTACTATACATCGTATTATGTTTTCACTACTACCTAGCATTTAAGATACACAGGATACAGGGTACAGCAAAAAAACCAATCTATTTTCTGCAGCACACTCAATGTTCAGGGACAGGTCGATGGAGGGTGGATACCATTATATGTAGTCGTAGAGCAGTGGTCGCCTGAGCTATGTGCGTTTGTTATTGAGTCGTATTTAAAAACTAGTGAATTCATTCATTGCAACTCAGCGGCAGTTCCGTGCATTCTTTCAGTTAAATGGATGGAGAAGTTCCGTTGCGTAGCACAATCATGCGGTGGGTTACTAACTGTAGAACAACGGCTTCTGCGTCCTAAAGGAAGCTGACAGGGGTCCAAAGTCAGGTCAGACGCCAGACAACTAACATTCGATAGAGCTGCTGTGGAAAACAGTCCTCGTACTGCCCAAAAACAAGCGGCTGCCTTGAACATTTCTGACATTAGTTACACAAATGTTAAGGTTAAAATTCATCCCTACAGATTAATTAGAATACTAATCAGTTTAATTTGGTTAATTATCCACACAGAATATCACAACGGAACCTCTCATAGTCGACAAGGAGGTCGACCTAATTGAATGAATGCACGGAACTGCCGCAGAGTTGTAATGACTGAATCATTATTTTTTTTAACAACTCGATAACAACCGCATGTAGCTCAGTTGACCACTGCTCTATGACTACAAAAAATGGTAATGTGTAGGCTTTCCAACGAGCCTACTCCCACTACCCTCAGACCTGTCGCTGAACAGTGCACTGCAGAAAATATATTAGTTTTTTTGCTGCACCCTGTAAAATAAATTACTAAAATTTATTGAATCATTAATCAGAAAAAATATCATGTAGCTTAATCCCAGGATCTAGATCTAAAGAAGGTGCCTCCTATATCTAGTTTCAAAAACTTGTATATTCATATTTTAATCATGATAGGCAAAAACAGTAAGCATATGATATTTTTTACTGCAGTGGATGTAAAGAATTATGCTGGGGTTATGAGAGTTTAATTAAAAGTTACAAGATACTTTTTACCAACATAGACATACTACCTGACTTTAAATATCCAACCCTTTAAGAAAAGTTTGCTATAATACACAGAAAATCTAGTTATGGGTAGAAATCAGCTGGTAAAACTTCCATTCTACTCATTCATAAACAGGTATCACTCATCCTTCATTCATCTTGGCCTTAAAGTAACAACAAGAGGTACAGTTCATTTAGGTGTTACATTCAAAGATAACTCTTAATATATCTTCAAACCCTCCATTAGTCACATTGTTTGCACACAGAAGTTATTCCAGGTTACACAAAAAATCTCATAGAATTTTTTAAAAACTACAACAGACACAATTTAAAAAGAACCATTTGCCAAAAAGGAGCATTTTTTACAGTTATATTACCAAACATTAAATGTGTGTTTATAGGGCAAGGAAGATAACACAATCTTTCTAATCTTTATCAAATGTCAATTCCGCTACTTTTACTAACATTGCACCTAGCTCCATATAGGTAAAATACATATATGAAGGGTACAAAATGGTTTCAATGTGTGATAAAAATACTTAAGGAGTGAAGTTTACTTTTTGACTTAGTACCCTTTATAATAAACCCAAGGAAATAGTTAAACAAAACAAAACCTCTGAGTAGCTAGGCTTAGCATAGAATGTTAAAACCGATTCATTAATCAGGAAAAAAGTCTTTAGATTACATTCAAATAATAATTTTTAAATTTGAGAAGGAAATTGTATCCAATACAACTTAAGCATATAAATATAGGTTTAGTACAGACTTATTTGTCATTCTACAAGATTTATTTATCATTCTGCAAACAAAAATATAAAAACTGATAAAGGAACAACATGTGTTATACAGTGTGATTGAAAAGTCCCACGGTGAAATAAATTTTATACTATTATGGATAAAGAAATTTAACTTCATAAATAAATTATAGCCATAAAACAAGCTATTATTACTTTTTCATCCCTTAAGGAGGACGGCCCAAGAGGAGTCAGACAATATTCTTAAATAGCATCATAGGTCGAGTTTGCTATCAAATTAAAGGTCTCTATTATTAGTAAAACACAATGCCACAAACACAAACTCAAACAGACAATAGAGTAAAAATTCTGTTAAAAGATTCCTTGAACTTGCAATGCTTATTATCTTGTAGGAATACTAGAAGTCAGAATCATAAACGTAAACATAGGTCGATATGCACATCACATTAAAGGTCTTTATTAGTAGAATACAATGTCACAAATTTGAGCTCAAAATAAAAGCTGGGTAAAAAATAGCAGCCGTTCAAAGATCTAAATGGCAGATTAAAGAAATATTTGAACGGCTGCCATTTTTGACTTGCTTGTCCGTTTGAGTTCGGGTTTATAGCATTGTGTTTTACTACATAAGACCTTTGATTTGATACTAAACTTGATCTATGCTGCTATTTGAGAATTTCGTCTTACTCCTGGTGGGCTATCCCCTTTAAGAGGTAAAAATGTAATAATAGCTTGAAAGAGTAGACTTATGGTTATTATTGATATACCAACACCAAGTTGTATTAGCCTTTATAGATAAAGTAATATCTATAAAGGTAAAAAATATAGTACACCGTTCCGGGACTTTTCAATCACACTGTATAATGTACTGACTTTATAAAAACATTTTATACATCGGTTGAGTTACAGTACGGTACAGATGCGAGTAATTTGTTTACCTGTTAAAACACGAGGAAAACTATTAGTAAATATTACTACAAACAAAATATGACGACATAAAAAGAAATAAAATTAAGTCTAGATGAGTTTTACAGATCTTCAATAACTAGTCAGGCACTTTGAAAAAAAAGAAACATTGGCTGAAGCGTTTTTTTCAAGGACAACAGGTTAATTTATTTTTATAAATTTTGCACAGCAACATTTAAACAATTTGTCCCCTCTAAAGTAGAGGTGCGCAGATATCCAAAAAATCGGGACGGATTCGGTTCCCAACCAAGCCCAAATTTGATATCCGACACCATCTGTTAAATATCCAACTTTTTCGGATAGACTATGTATTTTGAAATTTTGGGCAGAAAACAAAATCTTCAAAACCATCATCAATTTCCCAGGACAAAATTTCAGTATTTCGTTTCCAACGACCTATCAGCGGTCAGCGCGTCGTCTACGACTTTGACTAAGGAAGTGTAATTACCACAATGCTTTGAAAAATAATCCAAATTACGATTTAATTAGATTTGATGCATCAAATCACAATCAAGTTCTACGGTAATAAAAATTGTGATTCGATTCATGCACAAAGGGGTCACCTATAAGCAACTCAACTCTTACATCACGACATAAGGAATACACTAAGACATTGCCGAGCTGTTTAAGTTATTTATATCAAGATTATAAGGCATACACCGAGACACTGCGTAGCGAAATATAAGCTATTTATATTACAATAATTAAGTTTATATAAGTACAATAATTAGATTCTGAGTCATCGTTAGTCATATTAACATCCGGGGATACATTATCAATGTATTTGTTCTCTACCTCACTGAAGCCTTCTCAACCTCATATACCTTTCTCGATGAGCATAAACTGCTTATAATCTACAAGTAGATACCTGTAATTTTTAAACACGTCAAAGTCTTAACATGACTTCCCATACAAAACTCTTTGGTTCTTTACGTGATTTATTGCTGTAAAATGTTTTGAAACTTTTTTGTTAAGTTTGAGTAAGCT